GCCAGCTCCTGCCTTCCTGCCCCAGGTGCTGTCACTGCAGAGAACTTTCCTGCCCCGGTGCGGGGCACAGCCTGAGTGGCCCCAGGTGGGTTTTTTCCCTTGGCTCTCCCCCTGGGAAGCACTCGTGCCAGGCAGCATTCCCAGAGGAATGCCAGCACTTTCTCCAGCCTTGTGGGCAGATGGGGTGAAGCACAGACAAGGCCGTGGCACCTCTGCTGCTCAAAACACCCTTGAGGCAGATAACTGGGTGTAAAACTGAAAGGCAGCAAAATATTGTCACCTCCCAACATCTGCTCCGACTGACAGCATGGGAGCTTGGAGCGTTCAGTCCAGGCAGCCCAGGCTGGGCACAAGATTGGCTCAGTCACGAGAATCAGAAGATCGTTGCACTTGGGGGCCAGAGCTGGGCTTGGCTCACGGTGCCCCAGGCAGAGATGTGTGATGGGCAGCACTCGTTCCGCTCAGTGGGCAGCCTGGCAGGTGCACTGCTCACGGTGGGCTCTGCAGTACCTGGAGGTGCTGCTGCCCCTGCCCAGCTCTGCTGGGGCCAGACCCCATCCCCTTGCTGCCAGCATGGCTCTGCCCATCTTTGGGACACATGAAGCTCCTCGGAGCAGTATGAGAGCCAGGCAAGCAGAGCTCTCCTGCCTCTTCAGGAGGTACTCCTGCTCCTGCGCCTGAGCCATGCAGGGTGGGCTGGGCAGGAGAGGACACTGCTCTGGGAATGTGCTGTGGCCAAATCCCTGCAGGGGCTGGGAGCGGGCACGGTGCTGCCCAGGGGAGCTGCCGGCTGGGAGCTCTGTGCCTGCACATGGCACAGGAAATATTCACCAGAGGTGTGAGCAAAGACTGCAGCACTCCGAGATTCCCAGCCCTGGTGTTTGCTCCAGGTGTGTCCAGTCACAATGCACTGACTGTGATGTTATAACTGGGCTGATGAGAAAGGAAAGAGAAAACTATCAGAGCTCATCTTATCTGAGACAATCATGCATGATCAGGAACTGTGTAATTCAGTTGCCCTGCTTAGCCAAAAGTTAAAGAGTTTCTAAAGTTTATTTCCTGTCTTTATAGCAACTGTCTGGCCATTTATTTATTTTCACTGAAAGCTGCTGGTGTGCTAAAAATAATTTTTTGAGCAATTCTTATGGCAGATACTATAACAATCACAGGCTGAAGTCAGAGCAGTTGGGAAGTGAAGGATGCCTCCTTGGGCAATCTCTTCTCATGAACTTCCATCACTTTTATTTTTAAGTTTGTGCTGTAGCGTTCCGTGTCCCTCACCACCGAGAAGAGCTGACGGCTCGCATTGTTGTTACCTTGAAAGGGCAGTTATCACAGCTAATCCACCCTCCAAGGTTTTTCCTCAGGATAATTATTGTTTTGGTGATTCATCTTGCAGACCCTGCCCTTCCTTATTCGCACAAAATATCCTACTCCCTGCAATATTTCTGGGTCAGGCTCGTGCCACACGTGATTTCCTCTTGGGCATGCAAACAACACAAGATGGATTTAAAGGTCAGCCAGCGCCGGGCTGGCCACCCTCGGCACTGCCCCAGTGTCACCTGTGGGGACATCACCACACAGGGAGGGTTTGGGCACGGGGTGGTCAGGTAAAGGTCACTCTTGTGGGGTGGGGGACAGTGCCTCTGTTGTTGTGCTGGAAAATTTCACCACTCCTGTCTTCTTCAGTGGAAAACATTATCACCAGCACATCCTGGCATGTAATTTGGCCTCATTTATTATTGTCGAGTGTTGGCTTAATGCTTATGGTGCATTTCTAAGGTACTTAGAGAGGGCTGTGGTTTTTCAAGGAAGCATAACTCATGGAGGACAGGGGAGGGAAAATCCTGAAAGTTTTTGGCACCCAAATTTTATTGAACATGAAAAACATAACGTGGGCAGGCTTTAGCATGATCTCTTCATGGCCCAGAGGCCACGGGGAAGGGAATCTGCCCGGCAGGCAGGATTAACTCCTGGGAGAGCTGGGCTCTGCTGTTGCTGCCAGCGTGCTTGTCCGGACATCCGTATATCCTGCGCTCCCCACCTCGGCTCGGAGCAGGCACGTGGCTTTGTGTTCCACCTCAGCACACACAGACAGGACAAAACCCAGAGATGGCACCAAAAGGTGGGTCAGAAGCTCGGTTTGGGTTTGTTTGGGAGCTTTCCCCCCTGCTTTGCTGTTTGCACTAGAGGGGTGGGCTCACAGCTCCCAGCTTGTTTCGCTCTCCCTGACGGTGTGACACAGCAGGAAAGAGGGAGCACTGACACAGGGAGCCAGGAAAACCCCAGGCTGGATTGGATTGACCACCTTCACCTGGTGAACTGGCAGTGTTTGAAGGTCCCCAGAGCAGTACAGGCACAGCTCCTGCTCTGACCCTGTCACACACAGGTGGGGCACGACGCCCATACCAAACACAGGAGGTCACTTTTGGTATTGAGCACGCCCGAAGCTGACACACAGCCAGGGAAACCTGCACAGGTACCTGCTAGGTCAGGCTGGGAACAGAGTCTGAGCAGCTCTCCTGCAGCCCCAGCCTGCCAGCAAACAGGGGGAGGCAGGGACAGCCCCAGCCTGCCGTGCTGCCCAGGGGCAGCTCATGGGCTCTTCATGAGCCAGGGGCAGCTCCCGGGGATGTTCCTGCCTGATGTAACTGTTTTTAACACCAAACTGATTTTATATATGATGGTAGTCTCACAAGCCCTCCCTGCACGGTACACAGTTATGACCTGTTTCATGAGAAAAAACACAAAATGGACCATTTTCCTGGCTTTTACTTGGAAGAAGTTAACATGAACTGTGACCACACTGATTTGTTTTGAAAACTCTCCCAGCAGCCTACACTTACATTTACAGGTTTTTGGATGTGTAATGTCAACAGTTCAGAGAACCAGGGCTGTAGTGGCACAACAGATTCAATCTGCTGCTGCTCCCTTGAGTGTTAAATACGTTGAATTGGCTTCACCATGTCTAAAATGCTATTTTTTAAATTTTTCTTTTCCCGGCACAAGAGTTCTGAAGCAACACTTCTGAGAGTAGCTACCTGGGCAGGGAAAGCTGCTTCCAGTGCCTAAAATATAAAAATCTCTTTTATTTGGGTAAACAGTGCTAAAACACCAATGTTGTACCTTATAAAGATTTGCTTGGGATTTTATTATTGTACAAGAAAAACACCCAAACTACCCAAGCAATAACACATCTACTAAAGGTGGCCAGTAAATAATCTAAAAATATGAGGGAGGGTTATATTCACCGTGGCTTAGGCAGTAGAGAATACAGAGCTTGGTTTGGTTACTTGCCTTGTTTGTAGGTAACGGTTTTCAAAATGCTAGGTTGGAATTGATTGGGTTTTGATGAAGATCTCAAAGATGCTTGTTAGAAGAAGCCACCTGTGTACTTCCCGTTAGGTATCAAAACAACACTTCCAAAGCTTTGTATGGAACTGTCACATGAATTTAATGTGCAAATCTGTGTTTAAAGCTTTGCTCACCATAAGCAGAAATGTGGAAACTCAACAAATCACCTCTGGAAAAATGGCATTTGTGAGTTATATTCTCAGAAGACTAAAAATAGAGCTCCATCTGTTTGTTTTCCTTTATGAAGTGGCCAACTGTAACACTCCCTTACCAGCCCTAAAAAAGAATTTACATAAAAGATGGTGACGCAAACCCTTATCTCATGACTGTGTCTCGTTAGGTCATCCATGGTGGGCAAAAAATTACTTCACTTTTAAAGTGTCTTTGCCATCTTCCCTGACCGTCAACCAACTCAAGAAAATATTTTGGGGCATTATCTGCACAGCAACCTGTTACCTTAATAGTGCAAATGTGTCAGTGGAAGCTGCAGTACCATGGGAGTTGTTGATCACCTTAAGGCAGCAGTGACACAGAAACCCTCCCACGGGCAGTCATTAACAGAGCTCAGAGCTGCCCTGGCCAAAGGGCACCAGGCTGCTCTCCTGGGAGAGCTCCACAGCTTCAAACCCTGCTAAGCAGAGCTTCTGGGCACCCAGACCTTTCAGCTCTATTTCATATTGTTTTATTTTATTGTAGGAAAAACACTTGTCATGGCTTATCTGTCTGACAATGAACATGTTTGGTGCTTGAAAATGAACATCCAAACCCATGCCAGGGCCTCACCACCCTCAGAGAGAGGAATTCCTGCCCAATATCCCATCCATCCCTGCCCTCTGGCACTGGAAGCCATTCTCTGTGCCCTGTCCCTCCATCCCTTGTCCCCAGTCCCTCTCCAGCTCTCCTGGAGCCCATTCAGGTCCTGGCAGGGGCTCTGAGCTCTCCCTGGAGCCTTCTCCTCTCCAGGGGAGCACCCCCAGCTCTCCCAGCCTGGCTCCAGAGCAGAGGTGCACAGGAGATGCTTTGTTGTCATCCAGTCACGGAATTTGTTCTAAATCTAAAAGCAGCATTGGACTATTTTCTGTTGCCAATTTTGATGGAGAGAGCTGTGTTTGGGTTGGACAGGGATGGCACAGTGATCAGCTCAGTGCTGCTCTCCACGGAGTGAAACACCCTGTTCAGTATTGAATTTACCTATCAGCACTTCTGACTTTGATTTCTGGAGAATAATTCCTGAGCACTTGCACTCCCCACGAGTCACCCTAAAATCAATAAACAGAGTTCCAGAGCAGCTTAGATTTGGCTGCTGCCAGAGCTGCAGCTCAGTGGAGTCTGAAAATCCCTGGGATATCCCTCTGGGAGCCAACAGTGCCATGAATGGGCAGGGAAGGCTTTGTGTACAGCTGGGCTGCATCTGGATACAGACACAGGCTCTGAGTTTCACAGGAGCACGGTGCTGCTCCTAAAACCAAGGAAAGGGGATAGAGGGGAGCTGGGGAGGATGGGATTGTTGGGGTGTCCTCTGCAGGACCAGGAGCTGAACTCGATGATCCTTGTGGATCCCTTCCAATTCAGGATATTCTACAATTTTTAGTTCCTACATTTTAAGAGCAGTTCAAAGGAAAACTCCTGTGTTGGCCCTGCTTGAAATACAACACTGTGGTCACTGAGTGGGATTTGAAGGACAAGCAGTTTAGTGGGTATTTTTTCTTTAAGAAGGTAATCTTGGAATTTCTTGGCTCCATTTCAGAATTTCTGCAACACAATGGAGTGTCAGAGTCATGGCAATCCAGTGGGAACACAGGTTTTGCCAGGGTTGAAATGTGCAACAGAAAACAGGTATTTTATTAAGAGTAAAAACTTTATCACACACCTCAGAAATATACTTTAAATGCTTTGGAGAATTTCATATGGTCTAATTCACTTCACAATGAATAAACAAACAGCCTGGTTTATGGCAGGTGTCCCTGCCATGGGCAGGGGTGGAACAAGATGAGCTTTAAGGTTCTTTCCAATCCAAACATTTCTGGGATTCTGTGATATGGTAATAATTAACTCCTGTATCCCTCAGTGTGCTAATAGCATCTTTCTCTTCATGGCTGGGCTAAGCAGACATGGCCAAGCTCCTTAAAGCAAACCTTCTGGAAGGCACCAGTGCCCCAGCAAGGGCCAGCAGCCTCTGCCCTGAGTGGTCCAGGCTGGCACAGGGCCCCTGGAAAAGTGCCCAGTGCATTTCCCACATCCACACCTTCCTGCTGCCCACTCAGTCAACAATAAGCCTTCTGAGCTCTGATTAAAAAAAAAAAAAAAAGTCATAATCTATTAAAAGCTAATCATCATTCTAATAATTTTATTTTAAAATATTTTAATTAATTAGTATCTTAGCTAAGTCTTCTCTTAATATGTTAATTAATGTAATGAGTTAATTGTACACTTTATTTCAATAAGGTGTTCAGACAACACCTTCAGGCACAGGGTGGGATTCTTGGGGTCTCCTGTGCAGGCCCAGGAGTAGGACTCAATAATCCATGGGGATCCTTTCCAGCTTGGGATATTCAAGATTCTGTGAATTATTCTGAGTTCAAAATGAAATCCTGCCCTGAGATTAGGGGAAGGATTTCCCTTGACTCAGCGGAACCCAGGTTTAAACAGGTCTGTTCCTGTCAAAAGACAGCTCACTGGAGCTGCTCCTTGGCACTGCACCCACTTCAGCTCTCTGCGCAGGAGTTGCACACATTTCATTGCACCTGTGTGACAGTCAGCTGGAACTTGTACCAGCCTTTAACAAAAATCCTATTTCCTGCCTTTGTATCCCTCAGATACTCATGTACTCTGTTTATTTCACACTCTTTAATTACTCTCAGGCCTGATGTTCTACCTATTTCACTTACCTGTAGGTTTTCCCACTGGTCTGATGAGGTTTGCTCCAAACTGAGGAAGAGCTGCAGTGTTGTCTGTGCCTCCCTTTCCTTGCAGCATGCAGGCAATTGGGGCAGTGCTGGGCAGCTGATGAAGAACCCATCAGGAATTACATCAGGCTCTGAGAGCAGCCTCAGCCTTGCTCTCTGTTAACAGACATCAAGGCAGGCTCTGGCTGCTCTTTTAGCATAAACCCTTCAGTGGCTTGTACCAGGACCCAACAGCTTTAGCAGGCACAGTGGGAGTTGGGACAAATTTACTCTTGCAGGAGTTGGGAAATTCAAATTACACCTCTCCTTTTCTTCCTTATCCCTCCTCATTTTAGGGAGCTACTGCAGAAACCACTTCCAGCTGAGAATCAGGGTTAATGTGCAGCATTTTGGGACACTGGGATTGATTGACCACTGGTTGCTCCTTTCCCTTCATTTACACAGACTTGTTGGGAGTGTACTAAAGGCTGTGTAATACGTAAGGTGAGGTATGAGGTACACAGGGAGTAGCAAACTCCCTCACAGAACTGGGACTTCCATGACTTGAGCCTTTCTCTGCTTTTATGTTGTGCTGGGTTTAACTAACCAGCTCAACATCTTCTGTATATAGAGTTTTAACGTCAAAGCAGTGTTTTTTCAGAAACATTCTCCTATTTCAGAAAGGACCTTTTCAGTCGCCAAAAATACAGTCCTTAGTAGCATTATGTGGCTTGTAATAGCTTTATTTTGAAGATTGCTTTAATACAACAGGCTGGAAGAGAACAGTGTCTGATTTTCTAATGCCTCTTCACTGGAGTGGTTTCAAGTGTCTGAAACAAACCAGTCTAAAAATCCAATTCCACTACAACCATAGAACAAATAAGAAAAAATCTGATTTCTCGTGTTGCAACAACACACACACTGACATCTGATGCCTCCAATAGCTCCTGCCAGGACCCATCTTTACAGAACATTGAATTCACAGCTTCAGCTTGGGGGCTGAAGGCCACACCATGCTCTGATGGCTCTAGAATTGAGGGAGGTCTGTTCTTTTGGGAGGCTCAGGTGAAAGCAAACTTAGCAGAACTTGTCTCTTGACCAGTGTATCTGAGACTCGTTTTCCTCTCTTTCAATGGTTTTTGTTTTCCCCTTGCATATATATCAGGTATTTTATCATTTGTCTTGTAAAGCAAAAACCTGTCTGCACCTATGAGTCCAGCTTGCTGCTTACCCAGGGACAGAGCAAGCGGGACTTTTTGGCATAAAGATGTCACAGAATCTTTCAGGTTGGAAAAGGCCCTTCGATAGAATCCAACCATTAACCCAGCACTGCCAGTATCCGCTATCCCGTCTGTCCCTGTCCCTCCATCCCTTGTCCCCAGTCCCTCTGCAGCTCTTCTGGAGCCCCTTTAGGCCCTGCAAGGGGCTCTGAGCTCTCCCTGGAGCCTTCTCTTCTCCAGGTGAACATTCCCAGATCTTCCAGCCTGGCTCCAGAGGGGCTCCAGCCCTGGGAGCTGGTCCAGGGACTCCTCTGGACTCTCTCCAGCAGTTCCACATCCCTCCTACATAGGAGCCTCTCAGCTGCCACGCCCCAAGTTCTCAACAAAAGCATTAAATTTTTAATTCATCAAACTCCCCTGCCATGACCATGGCACGAGCACCCCGAGCCCCTCTGCAGGCACAGGGATATTCATTAGCAGTGGTTTCTCTCCCAGAAAAAGCCCAACAGGTCTCAGGTTTCACACCACAGGGGGAATTCAGAGCACACCTTTCTGCATGGAAGGGCACAGCACACAAATCACTCTCCTGGGATGTGGATCTGGGCTGGGGCTGTGTATTCTATTTTTGGAGCAATACTGGAATGTTTCCAAGACCACCGTGACACAATCACTGCACTATGGGTGGTAAACAAGTCCCCACTACTGCTCAGCCCTTCCTGCACTGCTTGCTGAGCATTCTTTCACCACTGCCTGTATTACAAGGGTTCTTGGCATGCTGTCACCTCATCCTTGCACCCCTTGGAATAAACACATGGGAAAGGCAAACCAGCCCTGAGCCCACTGCACAGCTCCCACCCACTGGGTGGAATCCACAGACACCCCAAGGTGAGAAATTACCTGGTGAGACAACACTGCTGAACCAGCAGCTGCAGTGGGTAGCACAGGATTTAAACCTTCTGTAAGCATACCACGTATGTCCATAAAACGTTAGGTATTGTTAAAGCTTTTAAGGCATTTGGTACTGCCAAAATCAAACTCACAGTGTTTCTCTGCCTGAGCCTTACCTGCAGATACCTTACCAGATGTTAGGACTACTCAAGATTTTTATGCAGCAATTTAAACTCGTGGTCAGAAACCAGGTCTGGAATAAGCAGAGCTCCTGCACATTCAGCAGTAAATGGATGTTCCTACCCAAGCAGTGAAGTCTTGTATCAAAGATCTTAAACAAAAGTTAATACTAGAATAATTAACACTCTAATTATGAGTGTTGGAATTATAGTGGAGACCAAACATGGCCTTGAGTTTATTTCAATGCTGGCACTGTTTTTTCCTCTAAAATTCACATCTTCATTTAGGAGAAAGTAAAGGCACTTCACCATCAGTTGCACAAAATGCTGTATTTTATTAACTAAATCAAAAAAAGTACAGTTAAATTCACACAAAACGTTCAATATAAGCAATACTTAACATGTTTATAAGCTAGGACTGTGTCTGATTTGCAATTTAAATAGTGGCTGGTGTGAGCACAGCACATTAATACTGCAAGGTGCTCTGAACTGACATCACACTATCCCACAGAACAGTGCCCAGCCGGAGCCCTACCAGAACTATTGCTGCGGTGCACGGCAATTACATCAAAAACATGGACTGATTTTTAACAATTCCATGAGAAACCACACCACCATTTTTAACTGGAAACTTCCCTCCTGCAGCACTGTAAATAATGCACCACTGAGAACTTGTTCACTGGGAGTGCCCGTGCCTGGTGAGAAAGCACCAGCTTTCATGGGAACTGGAATCTCATACTTTTGGGGAAAGAAAACTGGAGTTTTTCCACTTGAAATGCACCAAGCCAAAGGAAGATGTATTTCAGCTCCCTGTGAGCACACAGTACCAGTACTGTGATATTCAGCTCACACCACCTCCACCCTAACCTCAGGGGCCTCCAGCTCACTCTGGAAGGAGCTGCCTTCCCAGCACAGCCTCTTACTTACCACAGCCCAGTGTCCCCCAAAGTGGCATGTGCAGCCCCAATGTCACCATGCTGCATTCCTACACTTCCACTGGGAACCAAATCTGCTAAGACACAGTTTTCATTAAGCCCCAGCAAGCTTAGAAATACCTTGTCCTTTCTCTCCATGTCCCAAAGCTTCAGAGTTTGCAGGCTGGAGCCCAAAAGGTCCTGGTGTTATAATAAAGCCCTAAGAAAGGCAGCAGGTTGTATAGTTACCTCCTTGTGAGCAAAATCCCTGCCCTAAAACTATGCAACCTACTACCTCTTCCTAGGAGCCCCACGCTTCCTCTGTGCAGTTCTTCACTCTCTGCAGGACTTTAGCTCCCCAGCTGCTCTGCTCTTCTGCCCTGGCTGGGCACACACTCCGAGGTGACACTGTCAGCACTGACAAACAGTGGCTCACTGCCTGTAACACTCACCAATGGCTCCATTTTCACTCTCCCTAAGCTGAACTTCCCATTCCAAAAAGCATTTATTTCTGTGGGGTTTTTTGTTACTACAGCAAGCTGCTTGCTGGGCATGCTAGCACAGAACCACTTACAGACTGGGTACACCAAGCACAGCAGGAGGAAAGAGAATGCAATAAACTTTAAAAGTCATTTTATAGAAACAATACCACCTCAGAGAAAAGTTCTGGCTCTTGGATGCTCAAACTCCATAGTTTCACAAAACCCCAGAAAGGTGAGAGGTCATTTTTGGCCAAAATTGGCCAACATTTAAATTTTGCATTAGATCTGGAAAAGCTGCAGAAAAACATGCAGACTTAATAAAGGGTAATTTTAAGTTTTCCCTCCAACTTCTGTCATGGAGCTTGAATGCATTATGGAAATTGGGGTGCCCGAAGAGTTTAAGTCACAATGTACAAGCTTGAGCTCCCTGTATTTCATGTTCTTCTAAGTGGCTTGGAATTGTTCCCTCTGTGGAGTGTTCTACCCTCTACCTAAAGCACAGGCATTTTCCATTCCCAGCCAGCACTATGCCACTCAACTTGGGAGCAAAATTATGTGAAGTCAAGGATATTCTGTGGGGGTTGTACCACTCACAGTGACTGTCAGTCCTGTAGATTCTGGCACTGCTGCTTTCCAACCCTGAATGCATCTGGTTTCACTTCCATAAGTGTTTTTAGCCCAGGACTGGCTGCAAGGGAGCGCAGTTTGTTTTACTCCTCAGGGAAGGCAATAGATTGTATAGTTATCTCCTGAACAGGGTAAAATAACTACCCTACAACTATACAATCTACTACCTCACTCTGACAGAGAAGCACAGACTTCAGCAAGAGCTCAGCAGCCAACCTCAGTTTCATTCTGAAGGATGTTTGATACAACATCCCAACAACTGGAACACCAAGAATTTGTATTTGATTACCCCACCATACACATACAGGAATAATCTATTCTTAACCTTTTACTCATTAGGGCAGAAAAAGTAATGCAAAATGAAACCTAGCTTTTCCAAGAACTAGAAAAATCTAAACACAATTCCCACAGCTATTACACAAGTATTTTGTCCTGTCATAAGCACTACAAGTACAGAAATTCAGCAAAATCTGACATTGAGCTTAAAACTGAAAAGCGTCCATTGTCGATTATCTGCTGCTTTAGGAAAGACAGTAGATTGTATAGTTATCTCCCAGTGGTGGGTATGACCCTAAAACTATACAACCTACTACCTCATCCCACAGTGCAGGCATCTTCAGAGCTGGGGCAGGATTGCTGCTTCAGTCAAGACAAGTCAGGCTAGCTGCAGACAGCATTTATAATACCACAGAGAAAGCCTTCCCCTTGCTCCCCCTAGTCACAGAAGGAAGTTATTTTAAAAATAAGGCTTCCATATTTCAAAATTTTACCAAATGCGTGGGTCTTAAGTAAGCAAGCTATAGCAGTCACAGCAACAACAGTCAATAAGTTTCTGTAGAATTACCAGTCGTGTTCCACAGGTGTCACTTCTTACCTGAAATCAGAAGAAAAGGCTCTCAGCAACACTGTAGGCACATACACATTTCTTCCTCTTTAGAACTTAAAAATGATGCAATCTAGGACCACAGCTATGTGACTGATTTATACAGATCAGATTGAGGCCCTAATATTTGTAATCCTGATTAAAAAAATATTATTACATAGAGTGACCTTTTCACCTATTGCACCAATAGCTAAAAAAAAAAGGTCACGCACTGTCCAAAGTACTGCTTGGAGCTTTTTCTGCTAGTCTTAAATTACGTTAAGCCTTGTGCACAGGAATTCTTTTATTAGAAGCAAAACTCAATAAGATTATGGCCTCTATCCTGACATTTTGTTAAACTGCCTTACCAAAAGGCCACTGAAAAGACATGTTTTCCCATCAGAAAGAAGTCTGAGTTTCTCTAACTGCCTCTGATGTAACTTTAAAGCCAATTTCCACATTAACATAGCTCAACATCATCTTTGAATACTGAAATGAAAACACTTGCCAGACAGATGTGTGACTCAGAATTACCTTCGTAGCAAGGACAGCTTGAGAACAGGGCTGGAAAGGAAAACGACTGTTTGTCCAGGTAGTTTATACAATAGCTGAAAATGTTTAGAGAAAAGCAGTTTTTAAAACTCTAAATACATTTTACTAGTACTTGATCCCAGTTGCAGTTTTCAGCCCACTCTCCAAACAAAGCCTGCACAGAACAAGAACACCCTCATGCCCGCTGGTGTCCTTGCCAAGCACACAGCGCGTGATCCCGTGCGCTCACACAAAGGGATGACGTTATTCCTTGGACAGACACAAAATCAAATTACTTTCCAGCCCCCCCACTGCCTTACTACAGAATCCTTTATACAAATAGTGATGACAAATTTGTGTGAATCAGCCTTAAAATCTCACTTGTAATTGGTATAAATCCCATTATGTGCTTTTGCTAACTTACACACCTACCAGAAAATAAACCTTAGTGTGGACACAAGTACTTGGTCCTGATGCCCAAAGCAGGAATAAATCAGAACAGCAGCTCTGGGCCAGAGTCAAACCTTTATAGAGCACTGGCCCCCATCGCATCCTTTTAAATCAGTTCTGGCAGAGCTGACATTCCTTTCAGCTCCCTGCTCCTGCATCCCAGACTTCAGCAGCTGAACACAATCCCTGTGAACTGCCATTCTTCAGGGGGAAAGGCAGCCTGGCCTGGAGCTGAGCTGCACAGCACCAACTCTGCACCTTCAGTTGGATAGTGACCCCAGAAAGTAAATGAAGTCCCACATTCAGTGTCTGAAGGTGATGGTTCTGTGATGTACTGAAAATGTTCGAAGCACACTGAAAACCTGAATGGGTGTTACACACCTGTTTAAATTTTACAAAATGTAAGGCAATACTTCTGCATTTCTTTTTAAAATTAAGACTGAAAGACACAAGGATTGCAATAAACTAGAAATCGATCTGTTTTATTTCTTCACCTTTAGACAAAGCTTAGCTGCAAACGTAACCAACCTAACATGTATCAAATAACTTTTATTTTTAGTATTCCGCTTTACATTAGTCCTGCATTTTGGGGCATTTTTAACTTGTGGATTATTTCTAACAGTCTTTCCAAGATGCATCATCTAGGGTGCCATATTCTTGGACAGGTGAGATCTGCCAGGTCCCCTTGGGGGCCTGCTGTGGGCTGCTTCTCTCATACCATGCATCAGGGGGTTCTGGCACCCACAGCAGCAGGGAAGCCTGACAAATTATCCTGCTGGCACAGCCTCTACTGAGCTGGTGTGTTCTCATCCCCAGTGAATCCAGAGCTGCAGAAGCTCCCTGCTGCTGATGTCACCGTGCTGCTGATGTCACACAAGTGCAGCACAGGAGCTCAGGGTCACGCACCTGCACATTCACTCTTTCAGCACAACACACTGTGAAAGACAAGCTTTAAACAATCTCTGAGCCATCTGCTTTCCCTGTTAAAAAAGCCAGGTTCCCAAGGGCTGCTTTTCCTTCCAGCACATGTTTAAAATCCCCAGAGCACTGTAAGGGGACAAACTGACTCTAACTGTGAAGCTGGATGATCTCAGCAGCCGCAGCTCCCAAGGCTGCAGCTCTGGCTGCACAGCTCCCACCACACGATGGAGCTCTGGGATTTACACAACAGCTCCAACACCAGTTCTTCAGTTGTATCCCTGGATTCCAGCAGCACTCCCTGCACTGAAGCCACACTTCCTGAATCCCAGGAGCTTGCTGAGTGAACATGTACTGCCTTTTCCAGCTGTGCTGAGCATCCCAAGTGACTGATGCAGGCTCCTGCCTCAAATGTGCTCATTCCATGGGGTTTTTGTGTGACTGGAGTGCACAACAGGAAGAAAGGGAGCAGCACAATTAATATAAACTTCATTATTCCTGATACCGCTTCCCCTCACTCCACTCACCCACCCCTGCACTGCCTGTTGTCACATGCAACAGGCACATCTCAGCCGCTCTTCCCAAAACAAGCTCAGGAAAATCAGATAGTGACTGACACAAAACTTTCAGCATAAACTAAAAATGTTTCCTCTTCCATATTCAGTTTTGGATTGTACCTTCCTTTGTCTTAATAATGTGTTAATCTGAAGGTAACATCCCCAGCTCAAGCCCAGGCACCTCTTCTTCCCCTACGCAGACCCAAAATTGAAACATTTAATAAACCTCCTTCTGGACCTGCCAGCCCACTGAGCAGCAACACGCTGGATCAAGAGTAAATCACACTAGAAAGCTGCTCTGAACTGAGAAATTATACTGAGGAGAAAAGGGGAACAAGCAGTTCCAGCACAAAAAAATGCACAGATGTGCTCTTTTGGGCAGCACCACAGTCCACACCCCCAGACAGGAATACATGTCCACAAAGGTATTTTTTGGAATTTTTTATACAACATTAAGATTAATAGTACTGACTGCTACCAATAACGCCTTTATCTACTGCCTCAACTGGAAATACAAGGTTTTTTCCCAAAATCTCTACCCCACCTGCATTTAATTAACACAGTGCAATCTGGCTTTAAGTAATTATCACACGATATTACTGTTGTGCTACATTTTCAATTAGTGTGTTTGGTTTCAATTGGTTTCAATGTATTTTTCTCACCATATAGTTATAGATGGAATATGAATATCCAGAAACCATGGCCTGAGAGAAATGGGACGTCACCACTGCCCATTCAAGCACAGAGTGAAGCCCATCTCCTGCAGAAAAGTCTGTGAGCACAATTAATGATTTCTGCTATGAACACAGAACACAAATCCTGGCCTCTCTCTCTACATACACTTGATTTTATAGCAATAGCACTAAACTCTCTGCATCCAAGTGATGCATGTGCCACAGCACTGCACAGTGCTGCTGGAAACCTCAGGAAGGCCTGAGAATGACTACACCAAAATGGTCACATTTTCTACTCCTCTTTGAGTACTGCTCTCTCAGAACACAGAGAGTGAGATCTTTACAAATAAATAAATAAATAAATAAACGTACACTTCAGCCTCAAACATTACGAAGGCCTCAGTGCCCTTCTCAAAGGAAAACATCAGTTTGGTTATCTGGCCCTACTTCAAACATAAATGTGTGTGTACACATATACACATACATATATGAAATACACAACTGCGTATTTATTCACTAGATTTACATCTCCTAGAACGTGCTAGGAGCAAGGAGGCTTTTTCTGCAAAAAGTTTACAAATTATAACAATTACACAAATTCAGCAAGAAAGTTAGTACACAAAAATATTTCAAGCATGCTGTGTTATGTTATTAATTGGCAATATAAACAAACATCTATTACCCTCTCTAAGTCCTGGGAGCCTTTCACTATTTGCAAATGAACTGATGTTTTCCACCACTAAACCACAAGAAAACAGACAAGACATTCATCAAAAGGAAAGTGAAGTAGGGATACAGCTCATTGCAGTAGGAAAACAAAGCAAGTTGAACTCGTGTTTTATCTAAATTTCCTTTAGACTAAGGAAGTACTAAATCTCCAGTATTAGTATGTAAAATCATTTCCTAGCATGACCTAAGTGACTTGAGGTTGCACTTAAGATACACAGAGTACAGCTTGGGAAAAACTCAGTGAAAAAAAATCACAGCCAGCAAATTTCCATTAAAAATATCACAATACAGCTACTTACTCATGAGGCTAACTATCATAGAGAAAAAAAACCCTCATTAGCCCATTACTGCATGTTGGCTGCAGCAAGTTTCAACCACCTCTGCAAAAAACTTCTTGGAAGTTCAGACTATTAAACATCTGAGTGTTTCTGTGAACAGAACTGATCAAACTTGACAACAGAAGCCACCACAAACTGTTTGGTGAGGCCCCTGGCAGCTGGGGATGTTTGAAGATGCCCTGTTTCCTAAATATTATTTAAGTTATTGCTTTTGAAGGGACAGATTGATTTTCTCAAAAATTCTGTGATGGATTCAATTTGCCCACTGCTGCTACTGAGCATTGTTCCTGTGTACAATTTGAATGGGAGCATGTTTTCCCTACCAATTAAGCACTTCAGTCACAAAACTGCCTGTGCAAAGCAGTACAGACAGAGAGCAGCACCAACAAGGTGGGAAAGGCACATCACTAAACAAGGATTATCCCAACCTTGACCATCAGGTTGAGTTTCTACTCCTCAAATCACACAATTGTTATGGTTGGAAGGGACCTCTGGAAATCATCCAGTCCAACCCCCTGCCAAGGCAGGGTCACTCAGAGCAGGTGGCACAGGAATACATCCAAGTGGGTTTGGAATGTCTCCAGAGAGGAGTCTGGAGATGTCTCTATGCCCTCCCTGGGCAGCCTCTTTCAGTATTCTGCCACTCTCATGGAAAGTTGTAATGTAAAATCATAAAACCACAATTTGATGGGGTAAAACTCACTGAGCCATGACAGAATAAAGTCACCAGCAGCAGTGTGCCAGGGCCGGACCCTGCTCTGTGCCACCACCAGCCCTGCAAGGGAACCCACATGCGCTGAGCCCTGAGCCGGCCCGGGGGCTGAGCGGCCCATGCCAAAGGCAAGAGCCACACCTGCAGTGCCCAGAGGCCAGCCACAGCTGCGGACACCAACTGCAAGTACGTGTTACACCAGGGCACCTCTGCTCCATCGGGGTGCTGCTGCTCAGGTGCGCAGCCAGCCCCGAGCACGCCGTGACCGGCCTTGGCTGCGATGTGCCCGTGTCACCCCACCCGCTCCCGGGCAGGGCCGCACTGGCCCCCGTGCCGCAGCTCCCGACCCACTTCCAGGACAGGCCGCTCGTGAGGAAGCGGCGGGCGCCGCCGGGGGCCGTGGGCCCGGGAAGGCGCAGCCCCACGCCAGGTAACGGTGCCCGCTACAAACGACAGCCCCGCGCAGCCCCCGTGCCCCCTAACAGGGACTGGGCCGGCAAGGCACTTCCACCTACTTTCTAAGGGATTTTCTCCACCTTTCGCCCCTCGGTCCGAGCTCAGCCCCCACTGCCGCCCTCTCGCTGCCCTGGCAGGGCTGAGCCCCCCCCGGCCCCGGTACCGGAGGGGCTCCCCCGGCCAAGGTCCCCCCGGCCCCGGCAGTGACGTACCTGGCGCCGGCGGCTCCCGGGGGCGGCACTTCCGGACCTTCCAGTGAGCCTGGAGGAGAGCGGGGAAGAACGAGGGGAAAAGGCATCGGTGAGGGGAATAAGGACAATGAACCGGGCCCACGGCAGAGGCGGCGGAGAGGCCGGGCCGAGGCCCCGCGCCCGCCCGTACGGGCCCTTCGGCTCAGTCCCTCCGCCCCCACCCTTCCCCCGGCGCTCCCCAACCCCACGGCCGCTCCCGCGCTCCCCCGGCCCCACGGCTGCCGCCCGGCCCCACCGTCCCGGTACTTGCGGGACCCGGATGAAGTCGCGGCCGCTGCGGCCGCCGCTCCCGCGGCACCACGGGAAGGGCGCCGCGCCCCGCCCGCCGCAGCCGCCGCCCGCCCGCCAATCACCCGTCGCCTCCCGCGTCCATTGGCTGTGGGGCCGTGAAGTCCCGCCCCCGCCCGGGAATATAGCTCTTCATTGGTCAGCTATGAATAGGGCTCCGCCCCCTCCGCCATTTATTTCGGGCGCGTTACACAGCGGTCCCGTAATGGCGCTCCCGGCGGCCGCGGGTCGCGCCCGCCTTTCCCCGCCTCCACCTCGGCCCTGCCCTGCTGGGCGTAGGACCCCGCGGCCCGGCTCAGCCCTGCCCTGCCCTGCCCTGCCGGGGGTGAGCCCTGCGGCCCGGCCCGGCCCGGCCCGTGTCCGCCCCGGCCCTCGCCCCTCGGGCGTTGGGTGCGGCATTAGCACCATTACCGGGCTCGGGGGCCTTGGGCCCCGTGGCCCATCGCACAGAATCGTGGAATCATCAAGGGTGAAAGAGCCCTTTAATGTCACCCAGCACTGACTGTGTGACCCCTAAAGCGCCCAGCGCCACACGCAGACACCTTTGGCACACCGCCATGGATGGTGACTCCGCCACTGCCCTGAGCAGCCAGGCCCTCCAATGCCCGACCACCTGAACAGTGAAAACATTTTTCTAATATCTAATCTGACTCTCCTCTGTCTCAGCTCAAGGCCATTTCCTGTGATCCTCTCACTGCAGGCACACCACCACCTCACCAGGGTCCAAATAACCTTTTCTGGTTGTACTCCTGATTGATTTTTGCAGCGTTTGGAGGATGCACCACATCTGCAGGGAGCATCAGCCTTTCAGAGGAGAAGTGGTCCTTCAGCTCCTTAGTGTGTCTGCTCAGGTGGACTCATACAAGCTCAGGGACAGAAAGGCCATGTTTAAAATTGAACTTCAAACATAGCACTTGTTTTCAATTTTCACAAGATTTTTGGGCTAGGTCTTGATTTTAATAAATAAAAGTATTGGCTATAATAATATAGTACTTATAATCTCTTCAGTGAGCCTTCAATTAGATTATTATATATATATATCTATATATAATGATATTCAGTGTCAAATATTGAAGTAAAGAAAACTCTGAATTCACTACGTATTCTTGTCAGAATTTTTTCTTTTGAGTAATTTTTTTAATAATTAAACTTATCAGTTCTTAACATTTTTTTTTTTTTTTTTTACGTGTATATATAGTTGGAATGATGAAGTTTATGTGTGTCTGGTGTCTTGCTTCAAAAGTAGTACTTTTTATCCCAGATTCAGGAAGGTAACGTGTGCCTTGGTGGTGGTCATGAGAGCAATGAACATACTAAACAATGACCCAGCTGCTGACTGGGTAAGGCAGACGCTTTGCACGTTGTTCAAACTAAATCATGACGCCTTAACAGCTAAAATGCAGTTTTTAATCTTGTGCAGGTAAAACTTTATGAAGTCAATCCGCCTGGCTGCTGTAGTGCGTGTTCTCTGTAATGTCGAGTGTATTTTGCTGTTCCGAGGGCAGGCTGAGGAGCTGCCCGCACGGCGCTCGGCGGCTGCTGCACTTCCCCCGAAGCTCACGAGATGGGGCGGGAGGCCCGGAGGAGCCCGGCCCGGAGCGCTCCGGGCTCTGCGCTACCGCCCACGGCCGCGCTCGCTCCGACAGCGCTCGGCAGCTCGCTGCCTCTCCGGCACAACTGACTAGGAGGAATTATCGCAGGGTATTTGCCAGGAGTGCTGCTCGGAAAAGGGCAGATGTGTCTCCTTTCAGTCATAACTTTGGAATAAACTCCTGTATCTTAATGCTATTTTTTAAAATAACTTTGGCATGTAAGGACTTTGTGAGGTATTCATGAACAGCTATGATTTCTAATAAATACATTTTTGACTTAGTAGGGAGTTAGCACTTATAGGATAGAACGTGTGCAGATTTCTAAAATGAAAAGAGAGAGAGAAAAATTCACTGCAAGTTTATGTGGCATGACTGTCTTTTCTCCTGGGTACAGACTTTTTTAAGCTCAAATTTAAATCTCTCCAGTGAGCCTTCAATTAGATTATTTGCTAACAAGCTAACAGGTTCCTCCATACCTCAAATAAATGATCTACAAAGCAAATAATAAGTAAAATAGTTTGAGTGATGCAGGAACACCTTATTTCTCTGATAATTCAGTGTAATGTAGAAAAACACTTTGCTGTAAGGCTTGAGTAGTTATCAAGGCCGTATTATTTGGGTGCTGCTTTTAGCCAGGGGTACAGAAACCATGTAAGTCATTCCTCATCTATTTTAAATACATCATGTGTTGAACACAGCTAGGAAATTAGAGTGAATGGATTAATGACTGAAAAAAACCCAGTAACTGGACAGGTTTAATCATGAAGAGCTGGGTGAGGCTGCCTGTGTCCACACACAATGATCAGACATTGCTTTTGGGGATGACAAGGCCTGATTGTCGTGTCAATCATGCCCCAAAACCCAGCACTGAGCACACAGCACACACTCAGTGTCATGTGGAAGGACTGGTGCTGCCTGCAATAGTAGGAATCACCAACATGAGTTGAATTTTGGACTTGACAATGCTATTGCATGTAGAACCATGAAATGTCTCACTTATCCAATGCTGTATAACTCAGTTCTTATTTAAAAAAAAAAAAAAAAAAACCAACAACAACAAAACAACCAAAGAGTGAAAGATTGGATGCAGTTAACTGGCAGGACATGTTCTCCTCAGTGGGAGGGTACCTCTTGAGATCAATCCCACAAAATCGTGCCCCAGCCTGAAGGTCACAGCAGGACTCTGAGGTCACAGAAGGCTCTGAGGTCACAGAAGGCTCTGAGGACACAGCAGGACTCTGAGGTCACAGAAGGCTCTGAGGATACAGCAGGACTCTGAGGTTCAGAGCCCAGTTCCCTAAGGCAGAAGGGGATCCCAGCACACTATGAATTACAGAATCACAGAATCACTGGGTTGGAAGAGACCATCAAGATCATCAAGTCCAACCCACCCCTAACACCTCAATTACACTATGGCATGTTTTTTAAAACACATCCAGGAATGATGACTCCACCACATCTCCGGGCAAACCATTCCAGTACTTTACCACCCTTTCTGTAAAAAACTTTTTCCTAATATCCAGCGTATATTTCCCTTGGCAAGCTTAGGAATATGTCCTCTCGTTCTGTCAGTTGCTACCATGGAAATGATTCTGATCTGTGCTCCCTTGTAGACTGGGATGCTGGAAATATTTTTCTGGCACCTTGGCTGGAAGATAGTTTGGATCCAGGTAAGATATCTATATTTTCCATAGAATATTGATTGACAACCTGGCAAGAGCCACGTGATAGAAGCTTCTGTGGTTGTTGTGTTACAGATGGATCTCCAGAGGGGAATTTTCCAGCTTCTGGGCTGGATGCTGCCCGCAAGCCCAGCTCCCATCACAGGGGTGAGTAGTGTGTCCCTGATGACCCCACAGGCTGAACCCTGCTTTTGTGGGATCCATTCCTGGGAAATGGAAATACTTTCTCTTAAGGTCCTCCAAAAGGAAAGACCCAAGCTAAAGGAGAAAATAAATCCCTGAAGCCTTCTGAACTTCTGGACCAGATGCTGAGTGATCTGGAGAGAGAACAAGGTGGGTGCATTTCCCTCAGCCTTCCCCTGGGTCTCAGCAGCCGGGGGCTTTGGCTGCACATCTGGACTCGCCGTGCCCGGCACAGCAGGAAGGCATCCATGGCAGCCTCGCTGCCCCGCTGCTGCTTTCACGGCCTGCAGGGCTGTTTCCCAGCCTGGCCTGGCTGCAGCTTCTGCCAGCCTCTCCAGGAAGGCATTTGGCATCCGCTGACAGGCAGTCCCAATTGCACCACGGGCCATGGCCACCCTGCGATCCCCTGCAATTTCCCAGTCTCCAGGCAGATCAGATGTTGGGGCTGTTTGGAGGGGGAAAGGTTTTAGGGAGAGACCCCAAAGCCCATCTGATTTCCTGAAGCCTATCCATGACTTTCACAAGCACTGCCTCCTGAAGATGGCACCTCTCCAATGGGGAACAGCTCCATCTGATCCAGCTGTCCCTCTTCCTTTCTTCAGAAATGAAAGGAGAGCCTGTGCAGAAGGAAGCAGCAGCTTTGGCCATGTCCATTCACATCTGCCTCCCACGGTCTTACCTGACCCCCTTGCAGTGCCCAGTTGTCTAATACCGAAGGGAATTCCGGCATGCCGTGCAAATGGCTGTGATCTGTGCTGCCTTCTAGATTGGGATCCTGATATGGATTATTTGGAAGTCCTGGCCCATAACCATTTTAAGCCCTTGGAAGATGCCGAAGGCAAGTTCAATGTGCCTTTCCTGACAGAATAATCAGTGTCCATGTGGCAAGAGCTCACTCATGCTACATTTCCCTTTAACATAATCTCAGGGTTAAAGGAATCTGGAAATATTCCCCTGCTCCCTTCTGAAGCCCTGAGGGATCCCACAGGATTGCTGTCAGTGGGAGGAAGGAACATTTATCTTTCAAACTTCCTACCCTGTGCAATGCCACTGTGTCCTTCCATGTGCTCTGTTGCAGCCAGGGAGAAGGGCAGAGAGGGAAGGGGCCGGGCCCAGGGCTGTGCCTCGGGGCTGAGCCTTTCGCAGCTCCTTTGCCGGCCCCAGGGAGCCTGAGCTGCTCCTGCTGCCACTGCCAAGCCCTGGCCCTGCCCGGGGCTGGGTTTAGAGCTGCTGGCAGCTCCAGGGAGTCCTTTCTGCCCCGACTGCCCTGCAAGGGGCTCCTTCCATCCCAGTGTGGGGCCACTGCAGGCACGAGGCCCCCCTGCCCCTGCTCCTGAGTGGGAGGCAGAGCTGAGGGAGTGCCTTGGAGGGCACCAATCACCCAGGTGCCCTCACTGCCACTCGGGCCTGATGGAGAATCTTCTGCAGGGTCACAGGAGCTCTTCTGTCCTGCCTTTCTTTGCAGCTAACCCAGTTGATGAAAGTGATTTGGCTTCCCAACCCACATCCAGGACTGAGCCTCTGGGAGATGCTGAGGGTAGGTCAAGGCCTTTCCCCCTGGGAGAGCTGCCAGCTCAGAGCCCAAAGCTCGGCCAGGGGGGCATCGCTGCAGGTGCCAGCACAGAACCATGCACAGGTGTGCCTCATCCTACGCATTCCCCTCACAACTTCTGCTCAGCACTACCAGTTGTTTGGAAGAGGGAGGGCTGTGGCCCAACCCCAAAAGCCCAGATATTTTGTGAATCTTACCCTCATTTTTGATTAGCAGGCTGCACTGAAGATGCCAGCAAAGAAATGGGGAATTGTTCCATCTGATCCAGCTGTTCTTTTTTTGTTTTTCAAGAGATGGACCAAAAGGGTATGCAGAAGGTGTTTCCCCAAGGAAGCAGTGGCCCATTGGCAGCCCCTGCTGCAGGAAGGAAGGTGATGCCAGACACGGGCACAGGCACAGCAGGTAATTGCTGTGCCGGGCTCAGCCCTGGGTGG